GCAATAGTCAGAAGTGTGGAAAAACGGTCATAAGTAACATTTTTTAGTGCCATTGCAACTTCGAATGGTCACTAAACAAATGTAAGTTGAAGATTACCTGTATTTAGGTGGTAGCCACCAGTGAACAGTGATTGGATAACACATAATTTACCTGTATGGAAGTTGTTTTTAACTCAGTGGTTCTTCTTTTTCTTTATTGATTAGCCCTTGGGCCATATCAAAGTGCAAAGTTCCAGAAACAAATTATTACTAAAATTAGATAAAAGCAATTTAAAATGGAATTGGATAAAATACAATTTAAAATGAAATTGGAATAAAATACAGTCTAAAATGAAATTGGAATAGAATACAATAATTTAAAATATAGATAAAATATGATAAAATTATATTTCTGGGTCATCCCTGCGATCTACTCCAATCATATGCAGATCTCACCTGAACCATTTTGCTTAAGTACTCTGCTGTGTTAAATGTTATTTTCAGATTCTGGCTGCACATAAGGTGAGTTTTGTTTTGATATAGGAATCCCAATGGGTAATTCATTTGATATATAGTCCGAGGTACCTGTCTCTCATCCTCTTATACAGGCAACAATCAAGTAGGATGTGAGCAAGGTCTTCTACCTCTGCCTCTCCGCGAATCAGTGGTTCTTTTGATGAACAAGTTGCTAGAGCAATTAGTTAATTTTATATCTCTGTTTTGAGTTCAAGCCCAGTGATTTCTTGGAGATAATATTGTGCCATGGCGATGCATATTTTTTTTTGTATGTGTACGTACACATACATACTAGTATGTGGAATTGCACTGGGAAACGGTGTGAAATAGTGACTAAGTGCAAATATTGCTATGAATCCCTTTATGGGAGTAAAATTTCACAAATATGTTTGAGATATTTTCGTTATACAGGGCAGACAACCAACATAGTTCTAGACTTAATTTAGGTTATTGGTGCAACCCTATACAGGTAAGTCCTTGATGTACAATCACAATGAAGCTCAAAATTTCCACTGCAGAGCAAGATAGTTGTTAAGTGAGTTGTGCCCCATTTTATGGCCTTTTTTGCCACAAGTGAATCTGGCTTCCCCCATGGACTTTGCTTGTTGGAAGCCAGTTGGGACAGTTACAAATAGTGATCACAAGATCCCGGGATGCTGCAGCCATCATAAATACATACCTGTTGCCAAGCATCCAAATTTTGATCATGCTGCAGTGGTCGTAAGTATGAAAACCAGTGTTTTCGCTACCATTGTAACTTTGTAACTTTGAACAGTCACCAAACAAATGGTTATAAATCAAGGACTATCTCGTAATGCTTTTCATAATATGGTTCTCAAATATTTTCAGGAATAGCTATCACTCTTTTATTTGTCTTCTTAAGCTTACCTTCCAATCTTATCTCTAGGCAAAATAAAATAGCAGTGAGCGAATGGCTTTCATCTCAATCAGTTCATGGCCTTGGAATGAGTTCAGGTCTCAGATCCAGATTCCACACTATATTGGCACTTTGGAGGATGTTCTTTGGCTTGACTCTTTAATTCAGCTGCTTACTTATTTGATTTTAGGAGTATGTTTTCATTAGTACATGTTTTTATTGACTTACATTGTTTACTTACACTGTTTTTATTCTCTGACAGGCCTGGGAACCTCCAAGGCTGTTAAGGAATAGATAAAATACAGTTTAGCCAAGGAATCCTAAATGGTAGTCCTAACAAAATTCTTCACCTATTCTATGTAGCAAGTATCAAATAATATGGTTGACTGTATCATAGACATATTACCTAGTAAGAGAGATTTGCTTTCATACATAAGGCTGTCACAGTCTCTCCGCTTTCCTGCCTTGAACTTGAAGATATGGCTAAGTCCAGTGTGCCATAATTGGAGTCTTCTGATTCACACAACCGAGTTTTTTTTATTTCAGATGGTCTTTTTCTTTAAGCTTAAATACGTAATGATAATGTTTTTCTGTAAGACAGCACTGGCTGAAATGACAAGACCTTGGCTAACGAGGATGGCTTTTCAGTCATTGGTGTTATTACCAAGCAATAGGAGCCCTATTCCTTCATAGTAACACTATTTTGCTATATCTTACTTAGGAATCTCATTCCTTTCATAATTGAGTTTTTGAAGTTGGCATATTAAAACAACCTTCCCCATTGGGGAAGACACATTGGGCTATGAGTTCCAGAATTCCCACTTCATTTTTAATTGATACGGAATTTCTCTTTGTTCTGTGGATACTTCCAACAAACGGCACCAGAATTCTGCATTTGCAATCATGCTTAGCTCACCTGTTCAGGACACAAGTAACTTATTCGCTGTAACCATTTGCATTCATAATTAATGGAACTGCATAGTTGAGCAAGAAATGCCAATTCAGTGCATGATCTTTAAAGAGCAAATGCTTCGGTTGACAAATCTATTTCATTATTTTTTTTTTTGTGGGATACATAATATTTACTGTATCTGGATACTCATCTGAGCATATGACAACAGCCAAATTATGTAATTTATTATCTTTAACATTTCTGTACTTGTAATATTTTAGAATATGTATCCCTTACAGAATATTTCTTTGATTTATTCAATGTTTTGTCCATATGTTTTTGGAATGAAGGTTGGCAACTATTTAGCACTTCTCAAAATTGAGATGACTCCCATACCACAGTGTAAGAACAAAATGAATGTACAGTTAAAAATCAAAATGGAACCAATATGGATATTTTAGGTAGGCCATATGGTCCATTCATGGGTACCAGTATATTCAATTACGTTCTTCCCTTCGTATTTACTACTTCACATGGAAATTTTGAAGAGCATCAAAAGGCACTGTCAGATGATAAATATGGTAAATGTTTTTCATTATTGTATTTAAGCATATTTGATTTAAAATATGTCTGTGTGCCTTTAAAAAGGAAAATGTAAGTGGTAGAGAGCATCTGTGATGGCTAGGAATGGTGATTTCATTCACAATGAAAGCAACTTGCATAGCTTTTAAGGTATGTTGGTTTTGAACTACTAGACTTTTCGTGTTGCAGAAAGTTATTATGAGCCCTGGTGGTGTAGTGGTTAGAATGTAGTATTGCAGGTTGACTCTGCCCACAGCCTGAAGTTTCAATCTGACAGGTTCAAGGTTGACTCAGACTTTCATCCTTCCAGAGTTGATAAAATGAGAACCCAGATTGTTGGGGGCAACATAATGACTCTGTAAACTGCTTAGAGAGGGCTATAAAGCACTGTGAAGCAGTATATAAATCTAAGTGTTATTGATACTTCTATTGCTATTATATACAGTGTATGCAGAAATGATACTAAACTAAAGGATTAATGGTTTTTAAAAGAGAATTTTTACAGTAGCATTTGTTAGAACACAGTTGGGTTGGATGCATGCTGTGTATATGGATTCACCTTCTGCTGTTTATACCTGTAATTATACAAAGTGCATTCCTCATCTTAGAAGCCTAGGACCACAATTTGAAAACGTAGAAGGGAACTAGGTTACCACAGATTTCCAAGGCAGGAACTAAGTATTATTCACATCCACTTATGATATTGATCCAGACTATTAGGTCAAACAGTTTCTATACACTGTATTAGCCATTATGATATAGACCTAAAACACAAATCACAGATAAGTGATTGGGAGAGAGAGCTTTTATGTGTTACTAGTTTGGCTGGATGTCATATTTTGTCTGTTGGCAATGAAAGAAATGTGAGAGGTCATTTAACTTACATGATTTGTTCTTGTGAATTATTTATATCTTTTTGGAACAATATTTGAATGTATATATAAGTTTATACAGTAATTATGGGGGAAATAGGAGGGAGGAATACTGTATTAGATAAGTTCATGTGTCTGTGTGTGAGTGTGCGAGTGTGAGAAAGAGAGATTGTAGATGGTTTATGTAATAATAATCTCTTAATAGTACAGCTGTTAATGTTATGTGGAATACTCTTGTCAGTTTCTTTTGAGTTTTTACTCTAAAACTAGTGTTATACATGCACCTATATGTGAGATAGTAAAACACTTTAAAAACAGAATCCTAGACTGACAATATTTTGATCTGATGCAGTTTCCCCCCCACTCTGTACGTTAAGGTTTTCTGCAAGTGTCATTAGTTTCCCTAGTATAAGAGCCAGTTGATATTGTTTTGAAGGGTGATAGCTCTTCCCACCCCCTGCAAATCGCTTCACGGAGGTAAATCTGATCAATAATATAATTAATTATGACAAGTTCTGTACTGTAGAGTCAGATTTAATTTTAAACGTTTGAAATCATGGCATGCTGAAGTTCTCAAGATCATTGCTTTCGTGATCATACAACAGAATAAATATTTGACTATGATTTGGATTGTAAACAGCAATAAACATCAACATTTAATTTGGTTTATGTAATTATCATAAATATCTTCAATTTTGAAACTGTATCCTAGATTTAAATAAAACCTATATTTTTGTACCTGTTGAAACCTATATTTCATAATGATGGATTCATAGCTAAAGGATATGTCCTGTTAAACTCTTAGTGAAATCGTTCTTACAAGTAAGGATTATTGTATTTCAATTCCATTATTTCAATAATATTAAATCTATATCTTTTGGATCTGATTGAAATAAAAATAAAATAGATTAAATCTATATTTATCTCTCTTGTTCTTACAGGATCTGAAATGATAAATTTAGCAGTTGCATAATTAACATCCTCTAGTTATGAGGCAAAAGTTAAAATAGAGATTTTGGAATTAAGAATATTGCTAAGATTTATCATGTTTTTTTAAAAAGAATCTTTTAAATATTTTTATAGCACTTCTTATGCTAAGCATCTGCCAGCTCTGCGTGCATTAAAATACTGGGTTTGCTGTAAAACCCATAAAGCAATTTAAAAAATTAAACTTTGTAAAGTATATAAAAAAGCTATTATTGCAGCAGTGTTATTAGAAGGGATCAAATGCCAGAGTAAATGCTTTTTTATCATTTAAAAAATATCCCAAATAATATTAGGTAGGTCCAGGACTTCTGGGGAAGAAACAGCAAACTGAAGACAGAACGGCACCAATGACTATGGCAGAATGAAGAGCCGGTGAGTAGATTGGCTCTTCAGAATACTTTTACAATCAGGGAGATTACTTGGGATCACACACAAGTTCTCCTCATGAGGAGTCCATGGGGCAAAGGTCTTCAGCAGGTTTAGACCTCTGAGAGACGAGAGGAGGTCACCTTTGTCCAAACCAAGGCATCTGCCTTTATGGACCTAGGATTTTCATACTTCCTATCAGAGGTGGTAATTAGCAGGTTCTGAGCAGTTCTGGAGAACCGGTAGCGGAAATTTTGAGTAGTTCGGAGAATGACATATACCATCTCTGACTGGAGATTTTACAGTATCCTTCCCCTGCCATGCCCACCAAGCCACGCCCACAGAACCAGTAGTAAAAATATTTGAATCCCACCACTGCTTCCTATGCTAATAACTTTATGAAATTGTTTGTTAACTGCTTTTCAGTTTTTAGGAACCTTTGAAATGACAAGAGTTATAGCTTTGAATAAGTTTCCTTTAATTCTTAGAGAAAGAAACTTTAAATACAAGTTTAAAGATTTAAGTTTAAATATAAGTTTAAGAATTTCAAAAAATTATCTTTCTTTCTGGAATAAACTGCAAAAGAATGATCAGTTTTGAAAAACTACAATTGGACTAAGTTGGCATGGATTTGAAATAAAAATTTGAAATTGATTGTAAGAATGCTTCTCATGGGGAAAAAAAGCTACTGCTTTGAATTCTTAAAAAATGATGAACTTTCAAGTTGAATGCACTTGGGGGAACTAAAGATAACTAAAGATTATAATAAAGGACAGGAATATTTCAGTTGAACTTTCTAAAATAGAACGGAACAAAGTACTTCAATATTGGATGTATTGTCAGATATTGGAAATAATGGACCCAGAAGTTAATTTCAGTAGTATCTGCCATTGCAAACAGACTGTGTTTTTAAAAAGTTATAGAAGAAAAAGTTATACTGGACAAGACTGAAACTGATTTGAAAGTGAATTTATAAATGACAGGCTATAACTATAACATAGAAAAAGATTTTACAGTGGATATACAAACCAGGTGATATCTTAAAAATTAAAAGGGATACACAAATAACAAACCTAAAGAGTGATCTAGATAACTTTCCTACATTGGATTTCCAATAGAAACTAGTTATAGTTTTGAAGAATTTTGTGAGAAAGGACATGGAAAAAATAAAAATAAGTCAATTTTAAGGACATTAAAGTAAAACAGAGGAATATAAAGTTGTTTATTTGATCAAGCTTAAAATAGAGTAACTGGTAATGAACTTTTGTTCACCGGGACGGAACAACCAGGTTTTAAGGATTTCTTTATAGATAAGAGATGAAATATAGGAAGAAGAGACCTCCTTTTAAGATAAAGTGATAAGTTATTAAAATTGTTTATACTTGCGATGAAGGGAGAACTTATTTCTTTATATATTTTCTTTTTCTTTATTTTCCTTTCTATTCTTTCTATTTCTTAATTTTTGGCACTTTCTATATTTTTCTTTTTATTCTTTTCTTTTTCTTAGTTTGCATTTTTTTCTTTTTAATTGTAATGTTTAATAAAATTATAATTAAAAAAATAATAACAATAGCTTGGTCCACTAGGCTGTTTACAATTCTTTATGTGTTTTATTAAGTTGTTTCTTATAATGAGCTACTGTGGTGCAGTGGTTAGAATGCAATATTTCAGGCTAACTGCTCACTGCCCGGAGTTTGATCCTGACTGGCTGAAGGTTGACTCAGCCTTCCATCCTTCCAAGGTTGGTGAAATGAGGACTCAGATTGTTAGGAGCAATATGCTGACTCTGTAAACTGGTCAGAGAGGTGTGTAAAGCACTATGAAGCAATATAAGTGCTGTTGCTATTACTATTGCTATTCCTACTACTTAGTTTCCAGCTTTTAAAAAATTCAGATTCCTTGATAAATTAGCAGTTTTTATATTAGCAAAACATGGGAATTAATTTTAATTGTATGTGAATCATTTTGCTTAATGCTCAAGGTAGTTTTTTATATCTTGAAAATATACATGTGGATAATGTTAGCTTCTTTATTCTTTATTCTAACTGTGATAGGTAAATTTAACTTTTGGATCATTTCCATTAAATTCAGTGGGGCTTACTTCTGAGTAAGTATATTCTATCAACTTTGAATACAGGCTTTTCTGTGCCCTGTATTTTTTCCCAAGCTCTCAATTTGATTCATATCCAAGAAGGTCAAGAATCCTAGTCATCTGAGAAGTTTCACATTAATCCGTGACATTTTCCTTGCTTCGAAAAGGGTTTTATGAATTTTGGAATCATGTAAAACTTTTATTAAATAATATTGAACAGATGAATTTTTAAAAAATTATCTGATAAGGCAGTTTTTTAAATGAAAAAAAAAAATGAAATTGAATTAGAGATATAACCACCTTCATTTATTTTACAGGGTAGCCGCCATGAATGAACCAGCTTGTAGTGGAAATGGGAAAGACTTTGATGTATTTAGTGTAATGGACTGGAAGGATGGAATTGGTACCTTGCCTGGAAGTGATTTGAAGGTACTGTAATTACAGAGATGTAAACACAGAGATGTACAATGTTTTATTAAAAGGTGTGATTATTTTAGTTAAAAAACAAAAGAACAAAAAGTATGTTATTTTTAATTGTAAAATATTACATAACAGTATATAACATAAAAGAAGTTACCTAGTAAAAACAAGAGCAGCATATTAAACTTAAATTTTAACTTAAACAATTTCAAAATCTTAAAAGTAACGAGCTTTGGAAAGAAACGTCTTTGAGAGTTAGAATATCCCTACACAGCTACAACTATCTCAGCATCTCCACATCACACGATCAAAATTCTAGCACTTGGCAACTGGCATGTGTTTAGAATGGTTGCAGCATCCTGGACTCATGTGATCACCATTTGCAACTTTCCCGGTCTGCTTTTGACAAGCAAAGTCAAATGCGGGAAGCTAGATTTGCGTAATGACCACCTGATTCACTTAACAATTGCAGTGATTTACTAAATAATTATGGCAAAAGTTATAAAATTGGGTGTGACTCATCTAATAACTTCCTTGCTGTCTTGGTAAGGATGTCACCTTGTTCTAAACAAATTGAACACCATTTCTTATTCCTTCAAATGATCACCGTTTCTCAACTGGAATGATTTCCAGCTTATATAGTTGAGTTTGCTTCCTAGAATTTTATTAAGATGTTGCATAATAAGGTGCACAAAGAAGGCTCTCTGACAATTCCTGACACTTACAGCTGATATGGAAACATAACATGGATTGTTTTTTTAAAAAAAATTTTTTATGACATTTCTATACATATTAGTTCAGAATAATGGTAGAATTGAGGCAACTTGCCCATGAGCAATCCCTTACTTCTTGCTATTTATTTTATACAGTTTAGCTGCTTTAAGTGCTTTGTGTTTAGAAAGGATTACATGGGATTAATTAAGATATTTTCATCAACAGTATCACCTTTCAATCATATCATATAGAAATTTGTGTGATATTAGTCAGCACTTCAGTGAAGGAGGTTAAAATCTGGAAGATACCATTTTGAAATTTTGGATAGCTTCTTTATGCGTGCATTTTCTCCCCCAGTGATGGAGGATGATTTTGATTTTGTACTGGCTTCAGGTTGTTTTTTCTGCTTCCTCTAATTAGATAAGTACTAGTGCTAGTACTTCTGATACAAAAATGAATATTTCTTTGTTTTATGCTTTAGAGGTATTTCTAGTATATTAAAATAAAATCAAATTGTATCTTTCTAATATATTCGTATAATAAAATATACACTGGAAAGTGTACATTTATGCATGTATGAACCACTTCATAGAAAGTTTGCTGGCCCAGTAATATGAGCATGACTTTGTAAGATTGAATTGCAATTATATGCAAGCTTCAACCAAACTATAAAGGCATTCATTGTTATTTCGTGGATTAAGGAACTGTTCTATGAATGAAAACACTGAACAGATAGTCATTGGGAAAATGATGGTAAACGGGACAGGGAACTCAGTTGTAAAATGACATGGTTGTAAAATGCAGTGTCCCACAACTGCCAACTTATGATATTCTGGCAGCACTAGTTGCAGTCGTTAGGTGAATCCTACCTGGTCATCAGATGTGATGTCACGTGATTGCTATTTGCAATCTCCTGCCAGCTTTCTAATTGATTTTGTTTGTTGCCAGTGAAGGTTGCAAATGGTGATCAGGTGATTGTGGGACACACTGCAACCCTTGTAATTGAAACCCAGTTGCCAAGTATTTGAATCACAGTCACATGACTGCAATATTGAACCATGGGGCTGCAACATTGAGGATTTGCCATAAATCTAATTTAATGCCATCATAATTTCTAATGGTTGCTGATCAAATGTTCATTAACTGAGGACTACCTGTAATTCTGAGGGCTAAATCCTAGAAGTTTATATGCTGATGTAAAGAATCATCTCCAATAAACATAGCAAAGAAATTTGTTAAATGTATCATTTGATCACAAACAGTGATTAAAAAAATACAGTTGTTTCACATTTATTTGGGGTATACGCAAAGGTGCAGTGCTTAAAACAATTCCTGTGAGTGGTTCTAAGGGGCTGAATGGAGATTTGATTCCACATTGTCTCCTCAGCTCTATTTCTACTTCTAGATTGCTGTACAACAATTCCATGGTCAGCATTCAGAATGTTTAATTGAGGGAAATGAAATGTGTCGTATTAAGTTTTCAAGGATCATGCTGTTTTGCCTCCGGTGCTTTCATCTTCTCTCCTTCCATCTTTTTCTCTTCTTTCTAGGCTGAAACCTAAATTTAGAGTTAGTCCTTTTGAATTTCTGAATAAATAAAGAGAGGATGTTTCACATCTATGTTTTATTCTTTTAAATAAGATATAGGTGTGTGTTTGAGAAGAAAGCTTGAGCTCACCAGCTTCCTCCTGTTCAGAAAGGGCACATTTTAAAGACAGGCTTTTAAACAGAGGCTTTCTGTTCTTTGCCTTCCTTGTGCTGAGGAAATGATTGCTTCCTCCTATATGCTAACATGACTTGGGGTTTCCATTGGAAAAGGGATCAATGAAGCTATAATGCCAGAAGATTTTGTTATTAATTTATTATTTCTCCAAGTTGTTTTAAAACGTGACTAAGTCTAAATGTAGGCCAAATGCACATTTTTTCCTCAAACATCCCTCCCCCACATTCATGGAAAGTATCTTACTTAAGCATTAGAATTTTTTGATTTTTCTACAGCACATACGGTTGTCATTCTTCTCTGGCTCCAGAACTTATATTCAACTTCTTGTTCTTCCCACCTAAATACACTTGGTAATTTACTCATACTGTACTAATCATGCACAATGCCTCTGTTATAATAGATCAGGTTTCTTTAACTAGGAAAACATGGGAGAAACTCTCCTGCTTTGGAATAACAGTAGTGTGGGGCAATCTTATTAATAATGGTATTAGATGAAAGAGGTTGCTCCTTGTTTAGCGGTAAAGGTATCATTACTTATGATACTCAAGGAATTGGATCAATTTTATTTGGATTGTCCCACATTGCAAAATGCCAGGGCAGTTTTGCAGGGTAGAACTTTGAAAATGAATAGTTTGGAGAAGATCTTAAGGCAACTCTTGGAACTTTAAATATTTAACTAGATCCAAGACTGATTGCTTTTGATAATTCAAATAGTGAATTAAGATTTGTATTAAATGAGAAGGCTTAGCCTTAGAATCACACCAACAACAATTTTAGTTGGTATGGGCAACTTCTTCCTAACCTCAAAAGAAGAGAGGTCAAACAGAGGGTTACTCCAGAAAAAAATATTTATTAGTAGTACATTAAAATACAGGTCCCTTGAATTATTTAAAACAATTTATATTGCACTGTTGTTTTTCTTATTTTTAGTATAAAAGGATGGATTATTTATAGAAAGCAATTTCATACATGAGCCATTTTTTACAAGTGAAGACTGCCTGCAAGAAAATTGGTCTTTTATTCATTATTCAGATTTGTTTCAAACATTGTATGTTACAAAATATTTCAACATCAAATTTGCTAGTAAAACATTCAGACAAAATGAAATAAAAATGCTGCAGCAGTCTGGCATTTAATGCAATAAGTAATTTTCAGCTGCTATGGAGTTTCAAGGATTGGAGTTTCAAGCTATGGAGTTTCAAGGATTTCAAATCAGAAACACTTCATATTACAATTGCTGTGAACTATGTAGAGAGCTTAAAAGTTGATACCTTCCAAACTGAAGAGCATATATAAAAGTGAAGGACCCTGCTTTTTTGAGTCACTCTGATGAGTACATACAATCACCATCACCTTTGGATTCAAGTGCTCCAATCAAATTGGACAAGCTGCAATAAATTAAAATTGCTTCCTGGGAAAGTAGCAGAATGTGGAACACTTTTTTATTATTGTACTTGTGTGTTTTCAAGTGCCCTACTTTTAAAGTGATGTTACAAGTATGCCTAGCACATTGCTATTGCTAACTAAACAAGTGAATGCATCTATTTTGAAAAGCATTCTGAAAATAGATATAGCTGAGCCTGGGAATACATTCAGAAAGGATATGTGCCAGAACCTAATGGCCCAATAGAGCTAGCCAGAAATAAATATATTATCAAATCTGGTTTGCAAAAATCTGAAAGTGCCTTAAATTATCCCATTTCTTTACTTGGAAATTACATTAGTACATTCCATTTACAAACAGTTCCAACTGTCACTGTGTGATGCAGGGGTACAGAGATTTAAAGCTTGGAGGTGCTATTTTGATTATATGTAGAACCTAAGGTAGCAAACAGGAACCAGCTGTAAAAAACATGCCTTTAGAATGCTGAGCCCCAGAGGATTCTGCCCCTGAAAGCAAATATAGGAGGAAGGAGCCTCTTCAGGATCACAGCAGGAGGGAAAATAATTAAATTCTCCATCTATTTCTACAGCTGTCCTAATCCACTCTCCCAGCTGCTGCTATTTCCATTTTTAACCACCTGCCTTGCTTTGAGAGTGCAATCCTTTGAAGCAAAAGCACACATTGAAATTAGGATGGTTGAATATAGGTAGTCCTAGGCTTACGAACACAGGATCAGAACCTCTGTCACAAAGCAATTTTACAACTTTTTTTTTGCCATGCTCATTAAGTAAATCACCATTGGTCATTAAGTGAATTTGGCTTCCCCCATTGATTTTGCTTGCTGGAAACTCCCTGGGAAGGTCGCAAATGGTGATCACATGACCCTGAGATGCTACAACCTTTGTAAATACATGCCGGCTGCCAAGGACCCTGATTTTAATCAAGTGACTAAAGGGAACCTGCGGTGATTGTAAGTGCGAGGGACCAGTTGCAAGTCACTCTTTTCAGTGCTGTTGTAACTTCAAATGGTCGTTAAACAAGTTGTCCAGGACAAAGGGTGGTAGAGCAAAGTGGCTGTGTTTTTTCCTTGACTGATCAAAGTGATTTCTACACATGCAAATAAGTCACTTTCTTCAAGGCAAAGGCACCAGTTTGAGAATGACTAGCCCCGTATCCATGCTTTGCAACTCACAAAGCAAGGCTTCTCATAATGAAACATATCCCTAGAAACCCACATTTAATTACATTTGGACCTCTCTTACGAGCATAAACTCAATGCAAGTAGAAATTTATCAGGAAAGCAATAAAATTTGCCACAATAGTGAAGAAACAGTATCAAGAATGTTTTGGATGTTTATGCATTGGCTGAAATGACACTAATACCAAGCCAATTTTTATACCTAGGATGTTGATATTATGTGTAACATGAGAAATAACACATAAAAGATTTTCAGACTAAACTCCTATGTATACTGTTCATTCTTGAACTACATAAAAGTATTAGTATGTATAGAGCAGAAAATAGTAGCTTCTAGCTCTAAAGTGTTTATAATCAAAAATTCACTGCAGGAGCAACAAAAGGGAAAGGAAAGGGTAGCAGAGGCAGGAGTTTACTGTATGCACTTGTCTTTGAAAAAGTGCTGGTATTTTGACAAAAGGTTGTCTTTTTTTGTTGTTGAAAAATGCAACTGCATAAAGCCATTCAGTCCCATTCAGAAAGTTCATTCTCAAATATATTTTCAATGGAATTGTACGTGACCACTAGAGGGTACTGGCAATCTACTATTTTTTCTTTCAATAGCCTTCCTTAACTTTACTATCATTTAATTATATTGCTTTGTTTATTTTATGTTCACACTTTCTGTAATTTTCCCCAACATTTTCATCTTTGATATGAGTGCTATTCTGAGAATTCTGGTCCTTGTTCAGCCTAAAATTGGAACAAATGTTTAAAGAATATATAGAAAACTCTAATTTTTGCAATTTAGGAATATGTTCACTGAGACAGATGCACTCAAGCTAAGCAGCCTTTGCCTATTATTTCAGTTCATGTGGGTGAGACTGTTATTTTTAAAATTCAGAAGATGATATATAAATTTGATACCAACTGGGATACAGCAGCATAAATGAATCAGTTCAATACCGCCATTAAGTTTGCTTGCCGGAAGATGCTAGGAAGTTGCAAATGAGAACCATGGAACCTGGTGAGGAGGCTGCAACCATTGTAAATATATACCAATTGCCAAGTGTCTGAATTTTGAATATGTGACCATGAGGATGCTACAGTAGAAGTAAGGGTGAGAACTAGTTGTTTTCAACTTTGACTGGTTGGTAAATGATGGTTATAAATCAAAGTTACAAAGCAACAATACAAGAGCACACAACAGATACAAACTCAATGTAAACTGCTCCAAACTTGATTGTAGAAAGTACAGCTTCAGCAACAGAGTGGTCAATGCCAGGAATTCACTACCTGGTTCTGTTGTTACATCCTCAAACCCCCACTCCTTTACCCTTAAACTATCTACTATTGACTTCACCCCATTCCCAAGAGGTCTGCCAGGGGCGTGCATAAGTGCACAATTCTTCCTACTGTCCCTGTCCTATCCCATTTATTCGTACTTATTTCCTGTATTCATACTCATGTTCATTCTTATACCTGTTATCTTGTAAGAGATTTACAAATCAAATAAATAAAAATAAATAAAAAAGACTGACTATATGTAGCAAATATAAAAGCTACTTCTTATTTTATTGTCTAAAATCAAATCCATTGGCAATTTAAGTAAGTTATGAGATAATTAAGGAGCTAATATAATGAAGAATAAATATTACTGTATGTGCACGAGTGTTTGTGTAAAATATACAAACTATAACTGATACTAAAACTTTTTATATTATTTTTTCACATTTTAAAATCAGTTTTGTGTGAATGAATTTGGAGCTCTAGAAGTAATCACTGATGTCACAGAAATGGAAAGTGTTAAGAAGGCTACGGCTACCACAACTTGGATGGTGCCAACTGTCCAAGAAGGTCAGTGCAATGATTTTAATTTTGTTTCTTGGCATTACAATTTCATATGGATATCAGTGTGTCTAGCTGTCCTAGACAAGCTTATAATTTCTATTGTGCGTACATTTTAAATAAGAAGAAATGAATTGTTTTACAAATACTCTAAAATTTGTTCCAAAGAATGAATAGTGGTGTTATAATTTCCCACTTTTAAACAGTTTGTGGCAGCAAGTAATGGGGTGTGTGTGAAGATTGAGACCAGAGATATGCATTTGGCATAATCCAAGCATTCTTCCTTAAAAAAACATGCTGTTCTACCTTCCTGCTACTGCCACAAGGGAAAGAAAGAACTAGTCCTCTTTATCTGCTTGATGAGTGCTTGCTCTTGATCTTGATCAAGTGCTTGCGCTCTTGGCCTGGAAACATCTTAAGTCATTTAAATGCAGTTAAAATATTCACATAAACGTTGGCTCTAAATCAACAGGATTTATATTAAAAGGAAAAAAAAGTCACTGCTACTGGATTTTGCTTAGAAGAAGGTTGCAGTTCCTGCTTTCTTGTAATATACAACACCATCTCTTAGCTCACAGAATCACATTTGTCTCCTGAAATAGTTAAGCCATAATACAAAAACTGAACTAAAATAAAATAAAAGTGGCACCAGATCAAAGGATCAGAAAAGAACAATCCATAGATTGTTTAAAGTTGTTGTGATTTCTATATATTTGTCTGTGGTGAGGCTAAAACACAACCATCTTCTTAGGCCCATGGAAAACTAATAAGAACCAATTAAGAACTAGGTGATGGAATTCTGAATATTTCAGAAAAGAGCTACTGAATTAAATTGTGTTCTGGGCTGAAGTATGCAGTTGCTGGCCTCAGGGATGTATAAAGGCTGTGTGGGAAGCCCTGGAAATTGTTTTGTAAGCCCCAGAGTGGCCTTAACCCAATTTAGGAAAAAAAGACAAATTACTTCAACTACTTCAGCTCTGCCCACTCATTTCCCTGCTCACTACGGTTTCACCTTCCCCCAAATTTTATATTTGATTCCCCAACAACCATAAGATTGCCCATTCCTGCTCTAAATGCCGGCTATATGCAGACTTATGCTTCCAGGAAAAGGAGCTTATCTTTCATTTATGAAAGAGACCAGGTTCAGCAAAATCTTACCAGCAGAAAAAGTCTAAAGGAGATTTAATTTGTGAATTCTCTTGTTGCCTTGCAGTCTTCATGCTGCTCCACAGTCCTGGAGCATCTCCGCAGGAAAATGACAAATTCATCAAAAATCACGTGTCCTTATTTCTCTTGTGAGTTTCAGTGAGCAGAATTTTGCTCATCTGGGATCCAGTCCAATAGCTTTTACATATTAAAATCTGTTTGATAGAATATTTTTCCAAAGTTCTTAAGCTTGCAAACCAGAGGTGGTATTCAGCAGGTTCTGACCAGTTCTGGAGAACCGGTAGCGGAAATTTTGAGTAGTTCAGAGAAGTGGCAAATACCACCTCTGACTGGAGGTTTTACAGTATCCTTCCCCTGCCACGCCCACCAAGCCACGCCCACAGAACTGGTAGTAAAAAAATTTGAATCCCACCACTGTTGCAAACCACTTAATATAAGCAGTAATTTAAGTGTTGGCTAGTAAGAACTTAAGAAGTGTCTTGCTGGATTGGACTGTTAGTTAATCTGTCATCGCAGTGGCCAAACAGTTACACAAGAAAGTATTCATTCACAAATTTGGCCAACCCTTTTTTTAATCCAGCTAAGTTGGTAGTCACTATTATATATCATAGCTCCTAATTCCAATGTTTAATTATTTATGGTGTAAAAATACTTCGTTTTGTCTCACTGGATTCTTCCAAGATTCAGTTTCATTAATATCTGCTTCTAGTATACTGCTCAAAAAAATAAAGGGAACACAAAAATAAGACATACTAGATCTGAATGAATGAAATATTCTTATTAAATACTTTGTTCATTACATAGTTGAATGTACTGACAACAAAATCACACAAAAATTATCAATGGAAATCAAATTTAGCAACCCTTGGAGGTCTGGATTTGGAGTTACACTCAAAATTAAAGTGGAAAAAACCACTACAGGCTGACCCAACTTTGATGTAATGTCCTTAAAACAAGTCAAAATGAGGCTCAGTAGTGTGTGTGGCCTCCACGTGCCTGCATGACCTCCCTACAATGTCTGGGCATGCTCCTGATGAGGTGGCAGATGGTCTCCTGAGGGATCCCCTCCCACACCTGGACAAAAGCATCCCCCAACTCCTGGACAGTCTGCAGTGCAACATGGTGTTGGTGGGTAGAGTGAGACATGATGTCCCAGATGTGCTCAATTGGATTCAGATCTGGGGAACGGGCGGTCCATAGCATCAATGCCTTCGTCTTGCAGGAACTGCTGACACACTCCAGCCACATGAGGTCTAGCATTGTCGTGCATTAGGAGGAACCCAGGGTCAACCACACCAGCATATGTTCTCACAGGGAGTCTGAGGATCTCATCTCAGTACCTAATGACAGTCAAGCTACCTCTGGAGAGCACATGGAGGGCTGTGCGGCCCCCTAAAGAAATGCCACCCCACACCATTACTGACCCACTGCCAAACCAGTCATGCTGGAGGATGTTGCAGGCAGCAGAACGTTCTCCACGGCATCTCCAGACCCTGTCACGTCTGTCATGTGCTCAGTGTGAACCTGCTTTCATCTGTGAAGAGCACAGGGCGCCAGTGGCAAATTTGCCAATCTTGGTGTTCTCTGGCAAATGCCAAATGTCCTGCATGGTGCTGGGCTGTAAGCACAACCCCCACTTACGGATGTCGGGCCCTCATACCGCCCTCATGGAGTCTGTTTCTGACCATTTGAGCAGCCACATGCACATTTGTGGCCCGCTGGAGGTCATTTTGCAGGTCTCTGGCAGTGCTCCTCCTGTCCCTTCTTGCACAAAGGCGGAGGTAGCAGTCCTGATGCTGGGTTGTTGCCCTCCTAGGGCCTCCTCCACATCTCCTGATGTACTGGCCTGTCTCCTGGTAGCGCCTGCATGCTCTGGACACTACGTTGACAGACACAGCAAACCTTGCCATAGCTCACATTGATGTGCCATCCTGGATGAGCTGCACTACCTGAGACACTTGTGTGGGTCGTAGACTCCGTCTCATGCTATCACTAGAGTGAAAGCACCGCCAGCATTCAAAAGTGACCAAACCATCAGCCTTTTGCATAGGAACTGAGAAGTGGTCTGTGGTCACCACCTGCAGAACCACTCCTTTATTGGGGATGTCTTGCTAACTGCCTATGCTTTTCACCTGTTGTCTATTCATTTGCACAAGAGCATGTGAAATTGATTTCAATCAGTATTGCTACCTAAGTGGACAGTATGATTTCACAGAAATGTGATTGACTTGGAGTTACATTGTGTTGTTTAAGTGTTCCCTTTATTTTTTTGAGCAGTGTATTTTAGGAAGAGGAAAACAGCTTCTCCTTATCCATATCATGTACAGCTTTGTACACCTTATTCATATCCTCTCTTGGCTTCCTTTCTGAAATAAATGCCCCCAAAGTTGCAACATTTCCTTGTAAGATCAGTCATTTAATCAACTTAGTTTCCTCTGAACTTTCTGTAGTTCCATTATACCCTTTTTAAGATTTGGTAACCAAAACTACACACTATATTCTAAATGTGGTACAACATAGATTTATATAAAATCTTTATTTATTTATTTATTCGTTTCTTTATATATTAAAGTTTTATGCCACCCATCTCCACTATAATGTGACTCTGGATGGTTTACAGATTATAAAACAAGTAGAAAAATAATTACAATATATTAACCTATTAAAACTATACAGATTCAATATTTAAAACTACACAAAACCAAAACTATGGTTTTATAATATTGGCTTCTCTATTTTCAGTACAAATTCTTATTATTCTTGACACGCTATTGATTTTCACAGCAGATGCACACTTTATTCAAATCTTCATTGAACTGTTCACCTGGAGAAATAAGATTGTTGTTGAGTAAATCATTTAGATAAAACCTGTAAGATTTTTCTAAAGTGTCAGCACTGATCACTTGTGGGAAGCCCGAAATCACTTTTCAAAATAGGATAAATGTGTATCAGTAATTAAAGAGGCTCAGAAGGTTGAACTCAAAAGCAAAAAAGATGTTTTGCAACATGCAAATTGTAATACAATTGTAATACATGTTTTTGTAATACATGTTTTTTGTCTATAGATTGTTCTACAGTTGCAAAACACTAGGTAAAGATACAGCTACTTTAAGGAATGGTAGACATGTGCTCGGTGTGATTCCCAGCTGAAAGTCTTGGTGGTTTTGTTGACACAATTCATTAATATCTTTTTTTCTCCACCAGTATGTCATCCTGAGAATTCACTGCTTTCTTTTTTCTGTTGTAGCATTCTCAGAAAAAACAGAAGTACCACCAAAACTGAAGGAAACTGCCAAGGCAGATGGGCTTCATTTTTGTGGAAATTGTTTTCAGTCTGGAACATCAGTGGAGTTTGTAGATGGAGAAAGAACTTGCAGCCAAAAATGTGCCCATCTGTTTAAAAACAAGTAAGAGTTAATATAATAAATACAATACAATGTCATGGCAAGTACAAATTCTGTTGTCGCCTAAGGGAACACTGGATAAAAATACTTGCTGAGCTGTCAGTTGATTTTTAAAAAATGGAATCTAAGTTATACTATTATTGCTAATTACTGCTGGATTTTGTGTGTGTGTGTGTGTGTGTGTGTGTGTGTGTGTGTGTGTGTGAAGCAAAAGAGAAAAAGTATGGGGATATTATAGGTACTAGGTGCCATCATGCAGTCCTGTATAGTAGTTGCAGGTGAAACCATCCACTCTTAAATTCCAGGGCTAGAACACAGATGATCTCACAATAATTCAAACGTGTATTTATTAAGATTGCTTCTCTGTGACTTGATAATGCCACTTGGAGATACTGTACATAAGTGTAGAGCTTTTGATACCGCATTATTGACCCCTATTCAGTTATACAAAACAAGGCAAATGTTTTCTACAACTGTTTAAGTTTAAGTTTATAAATAGAAGAATCCCCAAGAAACAGTATTGACCTTACACATCTCAGAGAAGCCATATAATGCTCACAAACAAACCACTGTTTGTTTGTGAGCATAATGTAAATCTGCCAGAATAGTCACATTGTTTGATTATCATTCAGTATAATTCATAGCTAAGTCTCAACAGGATTCAGCCTCGGGTGCAATCTTGTATTAGGGCAGTCCTATTCTTTGAAAGAGAACAGGAGCATAAGATATTCTGAAACAGTCTTCAAAGAAGCAGCTGAAGTAAACCTGCAAAAGAAAAATACATGGCTGTCAAAAGATAGCTGCTTCATTCACATTCCTGCGTGCTATAAGAATTTGAACAGTTCTGATATGTATCTATTAAAAAATAAATCCCAGTAAGTTTGACTTCTAGTTAAACATTGCAGTATCAGTATCTATTCACAGAATTTTACTTAGCATATGAGCATGTGATCAAAATGTCTGCATTATTCACTTTGATTTTATAAAGGTTCTATTTAGATGCAATCCAGTGTATTGGAATTTATGGCAGCAAAGACGTGTTTTTGTTCAGGACCATGCATTAACTTAAAAAGGGAAAGACTGCATATTTTCTGTTTTCTTCTCTGTCAGTAATCGTGTAGTTCAGTTTATCTCTAATGCAATTAATTATTGCACAGTTGCTTTTACTGTGTTCATCTGAGAAATTTGTTTTACTGCCTTACATAATAATCTCTTCAATCTTTCAACAGATTGCAGTCTTTCTATTCCACTTCACAGCATTCAAAGTTGCTACTTCTTTTCTTTCAAAATCCCTTTTTAGATTATGCGCTTTGAGGAGAAAGAGGAAAGGAAAGGTTTGAAAGATGCAAAGTCTTGTTTTGTGAATCATAACTTTTTCCTCATGGTAATTAATGCAATTCTCATTCTAGGGAATCGAAGGAGGAAAAAGACGTGTCAGAATGCAGTGACGAAGACTATTCTAAGGGCATTCAAAAGAGAAAAAACAAACTGTCATCCAAAGGAGAGGTTATTGAAGAAAAAGATAAAGAAACAGTTAGTACTTTTCAGTTGAAAGATTAGACCGTTTCTTGTATTTTTAGTACTATTCTGTAATCCCTGCTTGTGAAATCCGTGCACTTTAAGCCTGTTGCGAATCAGTGGAATGGTATGTTTTAATCTAAATTTAACTGATTTTGCCCCAATCTCATGAGATTTCTGGACTACATGATATTTCAGCAGTGTCAAATCACACCCCTTCCCCAAATTTTATGAACTTGATTTTTTATTAGAAATCTTATAAGATATAAGAATATTGAAATTTGTAAAATTCAACAATATCATGGCCTTCCAACCATTTGATTGAAAGATAAACATTTAATTTTGCCATTGACAGATGTTGTGAATTCTTACCCAACTGGATGTTGGAGTTGGAGTTGGAGCTGGTTAAAGAAATATATACTACTCTTCTGTCTATTGAATTTATTTTCATGTAGATAGAGTGAGAAAATAGTAAACTATATATCTGCTCTACAGTGTAATCATTTTCTGAAAGAGTCTTACAGAGAGCATATTGCTATTCTCTCTTGTATTGAGAGAATAATTAGGAAAGTCCTGTCATGTAATTCACTGTTAATATTGCAAATCAGAATTGAATTTTATTCATACATCTGGTTTCAGATGTACTTAAGTTGTTCATAATATCTTCTAGTTTAATCAAATACCATTCTACAGGCTGAAACTTCATTCTCCATTGATTTTTGCATGAACTGAATTAAATTCATATTTAAATATTCAAAATACTTTCAGAACAGGAACTTCTTTGTTTGATAATTATAAATGAAAACTATGCCAGTCGCAATATTTAATTTTGCAATTTAGGAAGAGCACTCTGAAGGAAGAATACTGAGAGTATCTCAAAGAGCCACACGGAAAAGGAAACGAGATGTGGCAATTTTGAAACAAAGTAAGTTGATTTATAATATTTTAACAGGAAGTATTTTTGAGTGGGATCTTGTCTCTGCCCCTCAGTGTGACTGTGGTACTCTTCAGCAGAGTGTCTATCATGTTTTATCCGGGTGTCCGTTGGGAGCTTGCACCAGCCCAGTGTCTGATTTTTTTTTAGCGTGGACTGCCCTGTCTTTGAATGGCTGGGTGGAATGGACATTGGCATTTGAGCTACTTTAAGTCCATGTACGTGCCATACGCTAAATAAATAAATAAACAAACTTTAGCAGAATAAAGTTTTCCTTCAGTTCCTCAAAAAACTTAAAATATGCTTTGAGGTAAATGGATTGATTAAGTGTACAATCAGAAGTGAATAACCATGAATCTGTGAATTTTACATATTTATACTGTTTGCAAATATCTTCTGGTCACTGATTATTTCATAATGCCACAGGTGAACATTCCCACTGTATGTTTGGTTGGTAAAATTGATGTACGCCCCTCCACCCTCTGGAATATCATCCCCCTCATGCCCTAATTCTGTCAGTTTTCCAGAAACCTCTTAAAACAGGGGAGGGCAACTTTATGACCCTTAGACTTCAAGTCCCCTGATGGCTTAGGAATTCTGGGAGTTGAAGTCCAGAAGTCGTAAAACTTGCCTTAGTTGTCCACCCCTGCCTTCAAACTTAGCTTTATCTAGTTTAGTGATGCGATGATACAGTGGAGCCTGTTAGATATTATATGACAGTTAATGGATGCACATTGTTTTTATGCCATTACTTTTTAAAAATTGTTTTGTTTTTATTTTAATATAAATTGATTGTTTCAATCAGCTTTTATACATTCTTAATTATTATGCTGCCCAGAATCACTAAGTGGGATAGATGGCTATAAAAATATCAAATTAATTAATTAAAATAATATACTATTATATTTACTCAATGATATCCGTTTATTATAATAACTATGATGTACATAGCAAAATGTTCAGTATTTTGTAAAAGAAAAAATTGAAGAGCATTGTCCTTTGAGTGCTTACATTTTATTGTTTTATTAAAAGCTTCAAATGTATTTAATGTTTCCCATTCCATAGGGGAGTTTAAACTAAAAAGTATAAATGAAATTAAGATTATTCTCTTTCCTGAACATTGATGGGGATTTCTATTCTGCATAGGTGAAATTGTTCAACTAATTTTTGGGAACCTGTAGAAAATTAAGTATTTTATATTTTAAAAAGTGACAAATCCAAAGTGTTAACTAAGTAATAAAATGCTATCACTGTGGAGTTAGTTTCCTAAAAGAGTGAATATGCTTCCTTAAGGAAAATAATAAGATTAGGCAGTATTAGTTACTTGTAAGCTAATCTATAATTTTCACTTTGATGGTAATCATCTACTATCCCTGCTATCTTAATTAACAGCAATCTGTTGCAGTGCTGTTCACACAAATCCAGGAGGTTCTGGACTTAGAACCACAATTGAGCCCAACATTTCTGGGTTTTTCTGACACTTGTTAAGTGAGTTTCCCCCCATTTTAAGACCTTTCTTGCCACTGTTGTTAAGTAAATCACCACAGTTGACAAGTTAGTAACACGGTTTTTAAGTGAATATGGCATCCCCATTGATTTTGTTTGTCAAAAGGTTGCAAAAGGTGATCACATGAGCTTGGGGCACAATGAAGGTCATTACTGTGAGACAGTTGCCAAATGTCTGAATTTTGATCACATGATCGTGGGGATGCTACAAAGATGAGTGAAAACCACATAAGTCACTTTTTTCAGTGCTGTTGTAAGTTTGAATGGTCACTAAATGAACTGCTGTAAGTCAAGGACTCCCTGTATAGTAACATTGTGTTACTAGATTTGAAGTATATGGGATGATGATAATATCATATTTACCCAATAGTAATACAAGATTTTTCACCAAGATAATTATTACTTATGAATGGGACAGGGAGTCTTCTGAGAATAAATTTTATTTTCTAATTTTTTAATTGCTTTGATTTCTAATTTCAGCTTTAATGTCAAAGGGAAAGAAAGCGTGGAGTTGGTCTTCATATTTGGAAGAAGAGAAGGCTATAGCAGCACCTCCTAAGATTTTTAAAGAGGTAAGCTCTCCTGTAAAATCCTAATTAATTAGTTTGAGGAATATATTCTTTGCCAGATAATTCTCTTAAATAAAGGTGAATTTAAAATTTTGACATGGCTGATAATGTTCCCTTACTTACAGTTCACAGATGTGACTATATATGTAATAACTGATGTAGAAATCATCTCGGGTGTTGTTCTGTTATAGATAGCCTGAATATAAGTGGGCAGGTTTTCATAGTGACAACATAGTTCTGGAGTTCTACTTCTATTGTTTTTAACTCTTCTAAACATTTTTTAACAGCTGCTGAAAACCTGTTTTTTCCCAGCAGGCTTTAAATGTTGATGTTGATTTAGCTAAGCATGCTGTTGCCTCTGTTTAAAACTCTACTATGCATAATTTTTGAATTGTTATTTCATACTTCCTTATATTTTTATATGATTGATGTATTTAAGATTATTTCTGTATGCTACTAAGTGCCCAATTCCAAAACATTGCAGTAAGAATTCATCGGTGTTATTACTCCTGGCAGCCTGAAGTTGGAGAGCTAGGTGTGTACATTTGTGCTTGGCTTTATTTTACACACAGGTGAAAATAAGTTTTTAACCTGTTTTCCCTATCCCAAATTCTGGGATAGGTTAGCTATGTCCATTTGGAAGTACTTTTTGGTTATAAGTTTTTTTGGTTCACCCATTATGTTTATTCCCTTTTGCTTTATTTTAGCAATTGTAAGGTGTTTTTTTTAATGCATGCATCTTATAGTAAGTAATGAGTTGGAGGAGGGGCTTATATATCTTAATTATATATTTAAAAAATTGGAGCACCTAGTGTGAACAATCCTGAATAGAAAAGAAAAAAATTCAATACTTGCAATAGTCAGATAATAGTTAATGGCTTTTTAAAAGTAACATGTAGAATATTTTTGTATAGACTAAAATAAGAATCGTGTCAAAGAAACATAAACATAAATCTCATAATTTTACAGTCAGTTAAAGAATTCTAGATTATATCATTTTGGCATATAAAAACAATACTCTTTATATGCAACATTTTTCTGTCTCTTTTTTCATATTGTATCCATTTTTGGTATTCTTCTAATGCATATATAGATGCTGTTGTTATACATACCATTTTGGTTCTGTGAAAATAGTAAGTTATTATGGAGCAACTTTAGTAAGAATTACAGGGAGGACTGTACAACAATGTACAATGTGGTTTCTGTGTATTTTGACACGATCAGTGGTTATAGCCTTGATTACTAGCAACCTCTGGTGAGAAACTTCAGTTGATGTAACAGTACATCAATAATTTTATAGAAGTAATCCTAATGAACCACAGTTAATATGGTTAATAACGGTTGTTAAGTAGACAAAAAAGAATATCTTCTTGGCATAACTAGAAAAATCATTGTGGAAGAAGCAGATACTTTTCACAAAATACTTCATATAAGAGATTTGTCAAAATCTTTATATTAAAATTCATTTTAGCACTGTGGTAGAAACATTTTGGCAATATATACTAACCACTGGAGATGATCCAAAGAGTCATTTATTTTTCAAAGCTAGCAGGTTATTATCAGTTATTCCTTTTTTTGTACCCAGATGAACCAAAAATAAGAACTACTAGGCTACATAAGTCTTAAAGAGAATGTTGATCACAGACAATTTGACAACGTGTATGTGTTAATAGGAGGCCAATAGAATTACTTCACAATGGTTAAGGAAAACGATAACAGAAAGAAAGACATGAGTATCCTTCATTGTATGAAAACATAGAAATGCATTTTTTGAAAGGCAGCTTACTTATATACATATGACTTATACAGGGTCTTTTAACAAGCAATTCCTGTGCTTTCTGCAGAGAGAGATAAGGAAGCACAGCTGTACTCATCCTTGTATTTACTATCTCTGCTTAAGGCATAAACTGAATCAATTAGAAATTAAAAAGCATAACTGACACAGTAAAGAAAACCCCATTCTTAAAGGTCATGCAGACATATATGCAATATTGTATTGTATAATGAGGCATATGATGACATAATTACTTAACCTAAGTTCAAAATACAACTCGCACAGCAGGAATGATGATGAGAGATGAGAGAGGCAGAACCGTTAATCCAGAAATATATTAACATATTTATTACTTAGGAAATGTATAATGTACTTCATCCTGAAAATTTTGATCTAGTTTATATCCATATAGTTTTTTTCTTGAAAAATGGAGCTGGGGAAAAAAGTTTCATTAGCTGGCATCAGTGTGGAAAATCTGGTTTTTCTTCTTAATGGAAAAAAGTAAGATATTGATTTTAGTGTATTTTAGAAATGCTTATGTTAAATAAAACTTGACTTTTTACTTCTAGTACCAGTCATTCCCATACAACAAGAATGGATTCAAAGTTGGAATGAAATTAGAAGGAGTGGATCCTGAGCATCAGTCAATGTATTGTGTGCTTACAGTAGCAGAGGTAAATGCCAGAATGATAAAACAAGAAACTTAATTTTAGCAAATATTATCTATACATTTATCTGTATCGAAAACAAATTATACCAGGCAATAAGAAAATAACTGCACCCCATCATTTAGAGCCAGGTAACGTAGAATTATAAACTATAAATAAGAATATAAGAAGAGCTTTGATGCAAAGGCATACTTTCTGGTACTTTTAATTATTCTAAATTTCTAAATTTATCTAAGTTTGTAACCAGTGTATCTTTTATTAAATGTTGTATGACTCAACTTCACTGATTAGACCTAGGTTCTAATCTTACAAGAAATACTTAGAATGTTCCCTTGGATTGTAGCTGAAAAGAAATACTGGATTTTTACTTATAAATTATACATACGTACATATATATGTGTGTGTGTGTTGAATGAATCTTAATAAAGATGTGATACATTTGAACTACTGCACTGAATGATTATGCAATCTAAAGTTTGTTTGAGAATTGTTCCCCTATTCAATAATCGACTCTTAAGGCCCATTAGGAGATACACTTCTACTCATATGTATATATTTTTATATACTTTGATTTTAGATTTGTGGCTACAGAATTAGACTCCATTTTGATGAGTACCCAGATTGTTACGATTTTTGGCTGAATGCTGATTCTTCAGATATTCATCCTGTTGGGTGGTGTGAGAAAACTGGGCATAAACTTCATCCCCCAAAAGGTACTACATAAACAATTTATGACCTTTTTAAAAAATTTGTATTAAAGCAGCTTAGGTACACTTCTAATAGTGAGAAACTCTACAAGTAAAATTTTATACTGGCTGTAGTAAAAAAAGTGGTACACACATTCTTTTTATGATTTCTTACATTATAAAATATAAGTGAATTCTGAAACATTTAAATTCCAGGATCTGAAAATGTCTACTGTATATTTTTTATGTTCAAAGGCAGAAATTATCCTTTGACCAATGCTTTAATGATCAAACAGTTAACAGATGAATTACACAGTACTCTCAAAAGAAAGCCTCATGATAGTTTTAATAACTATATCAGTTCAACATCAAGATGCTTGATTGGGATATCAGCGGTTTCAAAAAGGTATAAACCTAAATATTTTCTCCTCTTCCTTAGAAGGAAGAAGAAAAAGAAATAATATATAGTAGAAAGCATTGTATCTTCATCATTGTCAATGTGCATCATATTCTGGTTTGTGCCTACCCTGAACCCTTTTCTGGAACTCTTTGTAGCTGAAGAGATTTTGGAGAAAGTCTTCCATGCTGCACATGCTTACAGACAAAATTCTGGTATCAACATCTCAGAACATTCAAAAGTTACCAAAAAGAGTCTTTGTCCACCTATGCTTAGGGAATCCATAGAAGCTTCTACAAACAGGTTAAGAAGACTGAAAAGCTAAAGGACACCAGGACACAAAATAATTCCTGTTCAGAAAGATAAATGGGTTGAAATCATCTTTATCAATGTCTTCTGCTGTTCTTGGGCCCAAAGTGCCCCCAGTTAATTAGATCAGTGTATCCTTTGTCTTACAATACTGTTGTCTACTCCTATGTAATCTTTGATCCTGAGGGTCTCTGGCCAACCTCAAAAGGTAGAATAAGGGACTTCTCTGGAGTGGAATTTTTCTGATCTGTTGATGAGATTCAGGGGAACTTTTAACACATTTATCTCTTTTCTCTGAGCCCATTCACATACTATCATAAATACATGAACACTGATCAAAATAAAGTCTGGTCATATCACCAGGTTAATGATTATTTTCCTTACAAATATTTATGTGCTTCTCAGCCAGCAGGACAACTAGCAGGAAAGTACTTTAAGTAGAATCAATGCCCTTCAAAGGAAAGAGAAAAAGACTTTTACTTCCAGTAAAAGTCCATGTTATTCCATGTTGAGAAATATGGTGGAATATGGTCCATTTTGGATCTTCAAAATAGTTCTTCACTTCAAAAGTGAAGAATTGCATCCAGTAAAGAAATTCCAGATAGTGGCATTACAAAATATCTTGGCATTATTCCATTAGCAGAAGTGTTTTGCTTCCATAGAGCTCAAAGATGTGATATTTAACCTCATTCAGGGATTCACCTTTATTTCCCTCCAAATAGTCACTACAGATTGGTCAGTGAAGTGTGTCATTGTAATATTTTGGCCACAGAATTGCCAAGGGTCACCTCTGTATTAGCTGCCCAAATTTCTTCACTATTCTGAACATCTTCTAAGCTTTTGAATCCAATTCTTTGCAACCAGATCTTACAGATTGAGTCCAAGAATATCATTACGGTGTTACATCAACAAGCAAATTGTTGTGCTTTGCAATTTGAGAATTACCTAACATTTTTTTCCTTTTCTCATTCACCTTATGGCAGATCTAAACTGTGATCATACAAGAGTGCTTTATCCTTCTATGACGCTCTTCAATTTTTAGCTCCCAATTCTAGCATTGATAGCAATTCTATTTTCTTGTGCCATCGCAAGAGACATTTTCTGAGGTGTATTACTAATGTTGATATAATCCCCTGTTCCTGCTTGGTATTGCTTTCATTTTAACAGACAAATATTTGTGTGTATCTGTATATAACACACACACACACACAGAGATTTTTAGTGGCACTCTTCTTATAGATCCTAAGTTTTATCTTAAGAAGGTAGGTCTGCATTGTGACCTCATCTTGCTCCCTAAAGTGGGATCTGACTTTTGCTTCAGGAAACTATTCTCTTTCTCTCCTATTCTATACTGAAGTTGGAATTGAATTGTTCTTGGTCACGTCTTGGTTTTTTGTGTACTCATAGTAACTTCTCACACAACATTGTAGCTGTTTTTACTCTTTGACCACAAAATCAAAACCAGAAAAATAGAGGGGCGTTTGGTTAACAACATGCAACAGTTTTTAATCTTTAAAAATGGTTTGGATGGCATAGGTTTCTTTACATGTAATACTTAAGCCATGCTTTGTTACTGTATTCAACCTTGCAATAGTTAAGTTTTCTTGGCATGCTGTTTTTCTTTTTTCTTTCTTTTTTGCCTTTGTGAACATAGTTATCAAATATAGTTCATATTGTATATTTATACCACGATTGCAGACTTTTGCTATTTTCACTTCACACAATGATAAAATATTAGAATTTTCAGTGTGTATTATCTGCAAATACTGCATTTGAAGCTCACCTCTGTAGGAAAAGATATATGTGCGACTTCTGAAGACAAGCTGGTGCTTTTGGAGTTTTCAGGAGAAAAGATATGACTGACTGGTCTTGTTTTTAAATTATATGGTGCCTGTAATTATATTCTCAAGGGACTTTTAAAAGTTAAATGTTTTCCATTTGTTCTTAAAATGGACAGTTTGGCAGACACTGAATGGTGATACTGACAGAAGCAGGTGCAATTAAAGTAAGTGCACCTCAAACTAAAAGAATATGTGTTTTATTCTTCTTTATGGTTTCCAGGATATAAAGAAGATGAATTTAATTGGCCTGCATATCTGAAGAAATGTAAAGCTCAAGCTGCTCCTAAATCCTTGTTTGAAAACCAAAACACAGTAAGTTTTTTCCTTATTTACCCCTGTGTTCACATTAACATTTATGTAATATATTGATACGCTCAATCTAGTTGAAAAATGTAATGGATTTTATCAATGTAATAAATCAACTTCTTATAGTAAATTTATAAAATAAATGTGTACATGTATACTACCTGTGTATTATCTTCAGGAGATATTTTTTTAAATTTTCTACATCTTTTTTCTTTGCCACTTGTTATTAATTTAATTACTTGAAAGTGTGTATTAAAAGGTTTAAATTTTCAGTAAAAGCATTTTAAAAAAGCATTGGAGTAGTATTTTCCTACATGGGTAGAGGAAAGCAGGCACTAAATTCTGCTTTGCATGCCTTTGTACTATATATATAAATTTTATTAAAGTTAAAGACAAGAAAGGGGAAAAAAAAGTCCAGAATTTGCCAGTTTGCTCTAAGGTTCCAAGCTAGAAAACAGACTGCAAGTTCTAGTCCTGCCTTAGCTATGAAAGTGGCTAGGTGGATAAATTTAATAATTATTAAAATAATAATTGAACTTATATCAAGTCTTCCGTAAGAATTAATGGGACCATGTAAGATTTATATGAAGGAAACTTTATCAAAGGCTTTTCTGACATCCTTTTTTGACAGGATGACATGCACTGTGCCCTCTTTCAATATCCAAGTAAATTAGATATAAAAGAAGATGATGTAGGGGATTACAGGATGGATGAGACAGAAATAAAAGAAGTCTGAATTCAATTTTTAAAAAATAATCCAACTATTTGATTTAGAAAATAAGAGTTTATCTTATTCCCAAGACAAGGTGATGCAAGATATAAGATACAGACATCTTTAATACATGGTCACACACCTCATTGACTTCACATAAGTCCTAATTTGTCTGAGTGATTACAAATTCACTGTCAAGCGCAAGAAGCCAGCAACAGGAATAGAGTTCAAAGCACTAAAAATTAATTTCATTCTACCTGTACACAAGAATCTTATCTACTAACACTCAAGCCAATTTGGCGCTAGATTAAGATCAGCAGAATTCATGGGAGTCTGGATTTAGCTCCCTTGTGGGAATGTAATGACTGTATGTTTCATTTCATAACAAACTAGGAAAGTCAAACTTAATTTGAAAAGTCTGTGAAAGGTTACACAATTTCAGCAGTATACCATGTAGTAAGATAGACAGTCAAAAAATAATAAAATAAAAGATAATTTAGAAAATCAGAAGAATTTGAGGGGGTAGAGCAGAGTTCCCCAACCTTTCCAGCTTTGTGGACCAGTGGAGGGGGAGAAGAGCGGATGGTTACACATGGGTGGCTGACAAACATGCAAATGGAGCACTTATGCACTCACCTGCTACTCACGCAAGTGGGGATGTGTGCATTTCCAAACAGTGGGCCACGGTCCAGGGATTGGGGACCCCAGTATAGATGGCTTTTTAAAATTAATCTGCAGCATTGTGTTTGATGTTTATCTTTTTACTGATCTGCAGCTTTTTGTCTTAGGTTTGTTTTGTGCTGTCTTGCTTTATGTGGTTCAATAGCCATCCTTCTACTCAACATTATTTTTGAACCTCTCTTTGATTAGACTGTGATCCCATCAGGATTTCGAGTAGGGATGAAGCTTGAAGCAGTAGACAAAAAGAATCCTGCTTTCATATGTGTTGCTACAGTAACTGATATTGTGGACAACCGTTTCCTGGTTCATTTTGACAACTGGGATGAAAGCTATGACTACTGGTAGGAGTGTTTTGATGATAGAATTTTAGCGATGCTACCCTTCCGCCCCGTTTTATATTGTCATTTTTCTATTTAATTAAGATGATCGTTTTTTTAAAAAAAAACATTTCTCTTCTGGAATAATGTTATATGTTACAGACCCTCTAAAAGAGACGTAGGTGTTGATACAGTGTAAAGAATAAAGGCATAATAAATATGAATGTCAAAGAAAACAATCTGAAAGTTGGAAAAAATACAGGCTACCATACAAGAAAAGATACTCGAAGTCATTGAAAACTTTTTATGTGGTCCTCCTTGGGTTAAGAATTGGATGTGCAAATTATTTGTGCAAATACACAAATAATTAAGCTGCTGACCTTTTGCAATCTGTCAATGAAGCATGGTGTATTGTTAAGCGAAAAGGGTTCAGACAAACAGGGCAATGCTTGAACCTGATGAGTAGACAGCCTTTGAGATTCTCAGTCATCCAGGTCATGGTTGATGGGTAGACGACAGCTGAGAGTTGTTTCTACCTCAGTTCAGATTATTTCCTTCTTCACTTCCATCTCCTGCGTACTCTATCTAGTAGGAATTCTAGGAAGGGCCTTTTCAGGATACAAGGAACTGCTTAGGAACCCCAACCACATTACAGGTAGTCCTCAACTTACAACAGTTCATTGAGTGCCTGTTCAAGATTACAACATCACTGACAAAAGTGACTTACGACTTTTTTTCTCACTTGTAATTGTTGGGGCACCCCTATGGTCACGTGATTTACATTCAGATGCTTGAAAACTGACTCATATTTATGGCAGTTGCAATGTCCTGGAGTCATGTGATACCCTTTTGCAACCTTCTGACAAGCAAAGTCAATGGGGGAAACCAGATTCACTTAACAACTGCGTTATTAATTTAATCAACTGCAGTGATTCACTTAACAAAAGTGGCAAGAAAAGCCGTAAAATGGGACAACACTCACTCAACAAATTTCTCACTTAACAACATAATTTTTTGTTGCAGTCGTAAGTTGAGGACTACCTGTACAGGGATTGCAGTGGAACGGAAACCAGATTTGAATTAATTTGCCAAGGGAATTGCTTTCCCATGGATTCACCCCATTGAATGGCTTTAATTTATAAAAGAGCCACCTGGTAACTCACAGTAACTCATGGGTGGCAGAGTCTCACAAGTCCTTAATATGACATTGTGATAACTGGAGAACTTTTGAGATGCTTCCAATGCAAAGCTTTGAAAGGGAAAAAGTCTATGACCTCATGGAAAACTATATTGTAATTTAAAAAATGCAAACAACCAGCCTATAATTTAAAGACTAAGCCCAGCACTCTTAATGAAATGAGAAAAGAAATAGAACTATTTTCAAGAGCCAATTAAAATCTAGGATAAATAGGGCCAAACTTATTTCTTTAGCAGAACCCCATTATGATAAGCTGGCCGTTTAAAAGCTGCAAAGGGCACCATGAAATGAACTCACCAGAATATATTTGTGTTGTGCCATTAATGCTTAAATTTCTATTTGTGAATAACCTTCCTATCCTATATTTGAAGCCTTCCTTCACATTTTTCTCCCTATCTACAAATTCTTTTTCTTCTGGAAAGCAGCTGCAGATTTAGGAAAAGATTTCAGAGCTTCAGATTTAGGAAGAGGCAAAAGAGAGGTCATTTAACCTTTCTCGGCAGTGTATCCACTCAAATTCCTTTTACTTTGCCACAATCCTCTCCCTCAGACTGAGGAAAAGAACCTTTGTTTTTTGGTGACTTGGACACAAATTAAAAAAAAACCTGCCTGGTCATAATTTGTAATTAATGTATGAGTTTAATTCAATATTGCATTTAACTACATTCCTGGTTGTGAATATATAGAACTCCAAAGTCAAAAGTCATTTGTCCCGTTCCAATTTACTCTGTTCTTTCCTGGCTGCAAGTGAAGTGAGCCTTTCCCTCTTGATTGCAGCCTACAGAACATTCAACAAATATGCATTTTACTTCTAAGACAATACCTCCCATAAGTGAAAGAGAGGCAAAAAGAAAAAGAAAAACCTTTGTCAAGTTTTTTTAAAAAACCTTTGGGAGATAAAAAGTAGGTTGCTAACAAAACAGCTTCCTTTAACACAAAACATGTATTGCTCTAAAGGTTCCTCATCTGAACACAAGATGGGGCTATAAGATGATCTGTATATTATAAGATGGATATCTGATCCTAATAAAAACCAACAAAAATATTTAGTTGATAATATTTATGAACTATGCCAATTAAAAAAATGATCAGTAGCATGGGTAATAGAAAAACACAGGCAGAAATGTCATTATGTTTTGTTTACTAATTCTGTAATAATATTTTATTGTGTTTATTTCTATGTTTCATTATCCTCTTAACTTGTACTATCTAGGACACAGCTTTTTATAGAAAAAAGACATATAACATAATGCAATTTTAATATTCATTTTTCACCTCTCTGTATACTTAAGGTAATTCATAGTATCTAAAATACGTTTCTGAAATATAATAAATAACAAAATTCAGTAACAATAGAATAAGGGAGTTTCAAGTAATAAAAATATTCAGCTGCATCCAATGATGTGTGAGGCATTTTTCTGGTTTAAAAACTTTGAAAGTATAATTTTGTATGTTTGATTGTCTTAAATCAAATGTTTTTAGTAACAAATATATATTTCACCTTTCCTAAATAGGTTTATGTACTCTCTCCCCCCCTCTCTCTCCCTCTCTCTCTTCCTTTCTCTCTCTCTTTCTTTCTCTCTCTCTCTCTCTCTCCCTCTCTCTCTCTGAAAAAGCATTCCAATACCATAATTAATTTATTCAGTGTCTACATTTAACAAGCAGTCCAGATGTTCATGTGTGCCCCATTGGCCTTGAAATATAATAGAAGAAAAATCTTAATTGCAATTAAGATAGTTATAGGAAAGGTACACAATTAATACAGTATTTTTCCTGCAGGTGTGAAGCAGCTAGTCCATATATTCATCCAGTTGGATGGTGTAAAGAACATAAAAAAACACTTGTAATTCCTCCAGGTCTGTATAATCGCATACGTTTACATATTTATTTCCCTTATTTAACGTTTTTAATTAGAAATTATTAGTGTGCCAAAATTTTAAAATATTTCAATTTAAGGGTGAGTTAGGTAAAAACAAAAAAGAATTTAAAATTGGATATTACGATTGGACAAGCTAGTTTTACATGCATTTTGGATAATGGTTCGGTAAAAAGGAAAATATTTTCATTCCATGCAGAACCTAAATGAATAAGAAGTTCATATGGACAAATGATATATGAAAAAAGTGAAAAAGTTACCAGGCAAACACTGATGATTAGATATCAACTGTATAAATTATGAAAAACATTTTGTAACTATAAAATTAGAATGCAAATCCACTTATCAAACAACTTTTACATAAGCTATAAATATTTAACCTGTAAGTGAATTAATTGTAGTTTCTCAGGAACAAATTCTGTAATTTTGCCCACACATATCAATGGTGTCATTCATTGCCATTCTGTGAGTCACTTGGAAAGGTGATACATTGAAGATTGTTACCTATTAACAGGAGACATTTAATCTACACAGGAAACTGTGGGCCTACTTGCATTAACAACTTTTCTCCCATTATAGCATTTATGTAATATAAAACTTACATTAACATTTATATATAGTCTTAACAGAAATTTTGTTCAGTTGAGCTTTGCTAAAAAATGGCTTTACCTGTGAATATATTTGAAAGACATGTATGTATACAGGTAGCCCTCCCCTATGGACCATAGGTGGGACCTGCAACTCGGTTTTAAGCAATACCGTTGTAAGGTGCAATATTATGTGATCCTACCAACTTATGATGTCAGTTCCATGGAAGTCCTTAAGCAACTCGTCATGGGTCATTAAGTGGAATGTCACATGACTGTGACTTTTGACTTCCTGCTAGCTTTCCCATTGACTTTGCTTATGAGAAGTCAGCAGGTAAGCTCAAAAAATTGTAATTGTGTGATCCTGGGATGCTGCATCCATCATAAATGCACACGGGTTGCCAAGCACCTGAACTGCAACTATGAAGATGCTTGCAGCAGCCACAAGGTCCAGCTACAAGTCCCCATTTTCAGCACCATTGTAACTTTGAACAATCGTTGAACAAGTGGTGGGTTAGTGAGGAGTACTTGTATTGGTATATGACCTAATAAAGCCTTGAACTAAAATGTGCAGAACTCCTAATTTCTGTTGCCTAGGAAGTAAAAGTTGCAGCAAATTTGGGGGGAGTCTTTACTGTTCATTAAATTCTGTCATGCTGGATTCCGTTTGATGTACACTGGATTATTTTGTCCATTCTGTCTTTGCCGTAAAGTCTGTCTATTTGCATGCTATCCAAAGCTCGTTTTCATACTTGCTTAAATACTAAGGCTAAGCATAAATCAAAAGAAAAATAGAGCCATGATGCTGAAATTTATCATGTATACTTGGTGTAAAAATTAAAGAGATGTTTATTTTATTTTATTTGGTTTGTCAATTGCTTACAAGATAATAGGTATAACTAAAAACGTAGTTATGAATACATGGATACATATAAGAAAAATAAAAGAAACAATAGGACAGGGACGGTAGGCACGTTGGTGCGCTTATGCACACCCCCTACAGACCTCTTAGGAAAGGGGTGAGGTCAATAGTAGAAAGTCTAAGGTTAACGTTTTTGGGGTTTGGGGAAGAAACCACAGAGTCAGGTAGAGTATTCCAGACATTGAACACTCTGTTGCTGAGGTCGTATTACCTGCAATCAAGTTTGGTGTGATTTTTATATATATATATATATATATAAACTTATATATATATATATTTATATATATATAGAGAGAGAGATGAGTTTGAGAGCAGCAAAATATTCTTCCCTAGGTAGGTTTCTACTGTGATAAAGGAAAATATATTCTTACTTTAATACACTGTCTCAAAGGTAAACCTTGTTTTTACAGAAATTAAGTGAATAATTATAACTGCTCTCATCTCGTTACATAGGTTTTTTTTTGTCCATCTGATTGATCAAAGAGTCAGAGGTATTTATCTCTCAAGATGTGAGAGTTCCAGGAACAACTTTTGGAATTTAAAAAACTCTTCGTACTTTGTAGTGAGAATAACATCCCTCCAATGTTAGTGAATGTCAATTCTTGGCACTCCTGTGTATTAACTATGTTGTCTAAATCTGCGATGAGTTGTAGATCATCCACTACAAGGCAGTGTAGGTCATGTTTACTTTATTCCTTTTAATTGAAGTCTGACACACAGTGCTTTGAATTCATCCAGTGCATGATATTTATATTTAAATCTTGTATCATTATTTATCAATTAGACTATCCTCATGGCAAACATTTTTCTTGGGAAAAATATTTGGAAGAAACCAGTTCTTTACCTGCACCTGCTAGAGCTTTTAAAGTGGTAAGAAACATCTATTTTTTCATACTTTTTCTGCTTATTATCTACCACCATTATTGCTGCTGTGATCAATATTAATATCTAACCTTATGATCTTGTTGCTTTGACTTTAGATAAAATTTTCCCCATTTTTGGAATTCAGTAATAATTGGTCTTCAAGCCAGATCCAAAACCCTAGCTATCTCTGGATATTTAAGATATTAAGACAATAGCTTAACTTTCCTTTCTTCCCTTTTTATGGGAAGGAAGAATGGAGGAAATGCACTACCTAAACATGGTTTATTTTCGGTGTATAGGTAGTTCTTGATTATGACCACAATTAAGCCCCAAATTTTTGTTGCTAAACAAAACAGTTGTTAAGTGAGGTTTGCCCCACTTTGTGACCTTTCTTGCCACTGTTGTGAAGTGATCTATTACAGTTGTTAAGTTAGTAATGATGGTTAAGTGAATCTGGCTTCCCCATTCACTTTGCTTGTCAAAAAGTTGCAAAAGATGATCACATGACTCTAGGACACAGCAACTGTCATAAATACCTGCCAATTGTAACCATGGGGATTCTGCAACAGTCATAAGTGTGGGAAACAGTCATAAGTC